CAGAAAAGGCCACGGGCAAATCTGATCTGAACAGTGCATCCACTGAGGTTCCCTCTTCCAGGGTGAATCTAGGTTGTCAAGGTGACCATAAAAGCTAACCAGCAGAGGGGAGCTCAATGAAATTTGAGTCAGAGAAAACTGATAGGTAGTACAGTTGAGGTAGACAAAGCCCACACTTTCAATGCTGCCTTTGTCTCCACCCTTCATCTTCGCAGATCGTGGAAGAAGACACCCCAGTCTTTGAATATTCTCTCTCGTCCCAGGGGATCCCCTGCCCAGGCTGCTGCTTCTGCTAACTAAACTCTTAGGAAGGTGCTCCAAGCATCCCCCCCCTCTCCCCCGGGCTGACTCTAGAACAAGTTTCCTGTGCTGAGCCACACTGATCCCTGCTAAAAGGCTGGGGACAAGTTCAGCTCTGTGTTCACTTGTCCTCTGGGAGTGGACACCGGACTATACAAAGTAGTTGAAATATCTAAGCAAAGATGACAGCAGCTGAGGGACTGAGCCTTCGACTGCCAGGTCCAACAGGGCTAAAGCAACACGGGTAATAATTATTAGCTGCCATACTGATGACAGCTAGCATTTAAAATGCTTTTACCTGTTATCTCATTTAATCGTCACGATCGATCCAAGAGTAAACAGGAATATTATCGCCACTTCACTTTACGGGGGAACCGAGGATAGAGGCCATTAGTCCATTCAAGGTCACTGGGCTAATAACTTAGGGCAGTCCAATTCAGAGCCTCTCTGCTACCTCTCCCCTCCCGAGTCACGCTGGACCTTCCTGGCCTGGAGGAGGCCTAGGGAGCTCCTAACACCACACACTCCTTGCAGAGCAAAAGGCCTTACACTTGTGGCCCAGAACAGAACGGAGTGTAACCTACGGGTGCTCAGGGCCGGTAGTTTCCCCCGTCTCCCACCCGACCCACTCCAAGTGTCTGGCTGTCCCGCAGAGTTACCCAGTTGCGGGCTCGGAAGGCCTGTACGCAGCGCGAGCCCAGAGCGCCCCTGCCGCCGTACACCAGCACCCGGCGCGCCTCGCCCGAAGCCGCCATCCTGCTCCCGATAGGCTCCCGCGGTACAGAATGACAAGCGGGAACGCACTGCCGTGCCCGCCGCTACCCAACGCGGAACTCAAGCGGGTGGCCCGCCCCTACCTGCGCCCCGCCCCTGAAGCTCCGCCCTGGGGTGGAGACGGAGGCATCTCGACCAATAAGAGTGCTTCAGCTGGAGCGCGTGATCGCGACTTGCCCCGCCCTAAGGCTGAGATACATTAAACCACGCCTCCAGGATACGTGCTCCCCTGCGCCCCGCCCACCTGCCCTGCCTCCGTCGCCCGTGAGCCAATAGGAGCGTAGCTAGCTCGGCCCGTGCTCTAAACTGTGCCCTGTGGCTCGCCCACGCTTATAGGCCAGCAGGCGGGCAGCACCTCGCCCAAATACCACTTGGTGTGCAGACCATAACAAAGTTCCGCCCTCAGGTAGCAAGCAGTCTTTTAGGAGCACCAAACCCCAGCCAGGACAAGAGTTCAATAGTATAGGTGCTGCAGGGTTCAAGCAGGTGAAAGTAGTTGCAGACACGAACAGACCAGCTAAAATATTTTAACTCCCAGATAGAGTGTGACGTTTGCTTGACCCCGTTGCCTAGTAGTTGTGTGGCCTAAGTGACTCCTTCAATTTTTTGTGCCTCAGTTTCCTCGCTAATAAAATGTGATTAATAGTCTGTGCCTCGGGAGTTGAAGAAAAGTGTGTAAAAAGTACATCGAGCAGTGTGTGGCTATCAGTATTAGTCTTCTCAGTGGCGGTTATTAAAATTCACTGAGCCTCTTGAAAGTTGGTTACATTTTTCCAAATGGAAGGCAATGGTCTATCTGGGGACACACTTAAAAGTGAAAATCTGCCAAAACAGTGATACAAAATTTGTCATTCTCTGTAGTTTAAATGTTTCCGTTTCTGGAATTGATACATTTAAAACAAAGACTATGATGGGGAGTTGTCACTACATTTAAAATAGTATATAGTACAACAGGTTTCATCTGGTAGGGGAACAAATTTAGCTATGGCAAGTTGTAGGCCTGTCCTTACACCTCTCTGTCTGCATGTAAGAGAGGGTTATCCTAGATCTACATCCCCAGCAAATCCTGGTGTCACCCCCACTGGTAGGTTAATTATTTCTGCTCAAGAGCACAGAGTCTCTTAACACCTGCACCGCTGACATTCAGCATCAGATAACTGGAACCGAGAGTGGCCTGTTTAAAATATCCAAAGAATCTCTGGACTCTAACCCTAGAAGCCAATAGCAAGCCCTGCCCTCGGTCATAAAGATCAAAAATATATCTGTGGTAGCACAAGCCTGGAATCCCAGATACTGAGGCTGAAGCAAGAGGACCGACCACAAGCTCAAGGCCTGCCTGGACAACAGGCTGAATTCAAGGCCAGAGTAGGTAACTTAATGAGACCCTGTTTCAAAATAAAAAGAATATTTAGGATGTAACCTAATGATGGAGCATTTGTTTAACATGCCCAAAGGACTTAGATTCAATCCCTACAACCAGGGGGAGGAAGAGGAGGTGGAAAAACACTCTAAATATTGCCTAAGATCCCCTGAGAGGTATAAAAAAAATCCCCTTTAGTTAAGAGCTATTATCTGTCTCTGTTGTAGCCTTCGGAAATGGATACTATATTGAACTTCTTCGTGCACCTCCAGGCTACAGGTGCCTGGTAGACAACGGACGGTTTTGTCTGTAACAGGTCAGACCTGCAGACTTATGTCAGTGGACATCAGAGTGTGTCTGGCTGAAGAGTCCACTGGCAGGAGCTGTATTATCCAAAGAAGAAATGTTAAGAAACCTGATAGTGGCCTCCTCATGCCAGGCAGTTTTAAGCAATCTGTGTGTGCCAGTTCACTTTTCTGCTCACAACAGACCTATGGCTGGCTGTACATACAAGGCGTGGGAGTCTCAAACACCTGCCTAAGAGAGTGGTCTTCCATAGCTTGAGTTCCTCTCACCCAGTGCTTCAGTCAGCACGGCATGAGCTGGCTCGAACTCTGGCATTAACTCCGAAAGATTTTTCTCTGAAAGCCCTCAAAACATTGCAAGTTAATATAAACCCATCATCTTAATACAGAACTGTAACTCCAAGACTTAAGCCTATCCTGTCTTCTAAATCTATCCTTAATGCTAAAAGAAGAATGTCAGCTGATATTATTCGTCATGTATTAATATGCCAAATAGTCTTCAAGGGCTCGTATATGCACTGTGTCATTTGTTGGCTCATAAACATTTTCCATTTCCAAGCCACTGAGCTAAAGATAAGCCGCTGAATTCCAAAGGCTTATATGCCAGCCCAGTGGCACCACTGCTTTGCAACAACAGCCTGGCCCATGGGGTTGCTGGAGCATCAGAGATGCAAAAGCTCCCACTACAGCCCTTTGTTGTTTAGAAGAGCTCCCCACAAGCTTCAGAAATGCTGCGCTTGATTTTCATTATGGAGAGATCACTGTAGTGAGTCCCATCGTGAGCAGGGATCCTGTCTGAAAGAAAGGGTCTCGGGTTCCTACTGACCAACAGTGCAGCTTCAGAAGCCCCTCCAGATACAGGAAGCACTTCAAAGTTTACTGCGCTGCCTTTGCTCAATTTTGCTTCCCACAATACTCGCAGAGTGGTTTTTGCCAATCTCATGGGACCTTCGAGTTGATATTCAACACAACAGTAAAAGTCACAATTTTAAAAGTCACAGTATGAAGTGGAGATGAGAAATGATTCGATTCTGGGATCTAAAGATTAAAAGAAAAGACAGAGAGAGGGACTTTCTGGGAATAAGGGATCCCAGAGAGAGTAGAACGGAGGATAAGAGTGGAAAAGTTGTGAAGAATATGATCAAAGTAACATTATATGCATGTATGAAGTCATCGATGAGATAGTTACCTAAAACATACAGAGAGAGAGAGAGAGAGAAAGAAAGAGAGAGAGAGAAAGGATACATATATGATAGATAGATAGATAGATAGATAGATAGATAGATAGATAGATAGATAGATGATAGATAGATGATAGATGGATGGATAGATAGATAGATAGATAGATAGATAGATAGATAGATAGATAGATAGATAGATAGATAGATCTATCGATCTTGACTTTGAGATGATAACGAGCCTCACTCCTATAACCCTAACAGTTAGGTAGCTAAGGAAGGAAGACTGCCTGACAATTTAAGGTCTGAGATGCATAAGGAAAATGTACCAAAAAAAAAAAAAAAGAAGTAAAGAACTAAAAGTATCTGCCCCATGTCAGATGCCATGGAAAAGTAGGAGCAGGGGATACGATGGCCCTCCAGTCACAACAAACAGATTTTATGCTACAATTCAGCCAGCAACAAATTCATACAGTTCTAAGTCATATATTTCGATGTAAGCCTTATGAACCAGGGTCAATTCATAGTATTAGTAACAGTTCCAGGGATTCTGACAGCAGTGACATTTTAGAGAAAGAAATGCCAGGGCACGCCTGGAAGAGATCGACATTTGATCCTGCACATTGTTGCTAATACATGCGCGTGCTAATGGGTCTATTTCTGCTTTGCTTCTACCGTGCAATTTTTTTTTAAGGCTAGTTAGCATCCTTTGTCAGCAGCTGTCCCTGGGTTGGCTTGGTAATGACTCTCTAGTCATTATGATGCCCACATCACGATGACTTAAATACTTGAACGGAGGAACAATTAAAGCCTCTGCTGAAACCCTAGTCCAGTGGGAGATATAGGGTTACTTCCTTGGGTAACACACTCGGCTCTGTAGAGTCAAGGGAAGATCATCTGCAGAGGCTGGGGATGTGCTTGTAGTAAACACACGCCGAGAAGGCAGGCCCTGAAGGAGGCTGAGGAGACGGACTGCAGGTCTTGGGTTGGTGTGTATGGAGCAGGCTAGTGTCGAGTGTCTGAAAGATGTCCCCTTGCCCTACTGTGGCCCGGAGTCCTGGGGGATGATCTGTGCCCACTAGCATGCCTGGATGGTTCAAAAAGGCGTGGTACGGGCTGGCCTCTCTACTCAGTTTCTCTTCCTTCCTACTGATCATCGTCGCCTTGGCTGTGCCCCATTGGTTAAGCGGGAAGATCCTGTGTCAAACTGGAGTGGATTTGGTCAATGCCACAGACCCAGAACTGGTCAAATTCATCGGGGACATTTACTATGGGCTCTTCCGAGGTTGTAAAGTACGGCAGTGTGGGCTCGGAGGCCGCCAGTCACAGTTTACAAGTGAGTATATTGGGGCATGTGAGCATACTGGGGCACATAAACTGGTGTGTGCATTTTTTGCTTTGCAGGAGTGCTTATGTTTAAATGAGATTTGACTGTTGCGTATCTAAGACATAACACTGAGGTCTATAGGCCACCAACAGCTCCTGTGGAGCAAGGCAAACAGATTGTTTTCTTTCTTTTCTAAAAAAGATAAACAAAAATCCTAGAGGTAGGAATTTGTATAGCTTGCAGGTTACTTCTAGTAATAAAGATTAGTAAAAAAACATCGAGTGCTCGTGTGGCAGGCCTCTCGCTAGAAGCCGCACATTGCCTGGCTCTTTTAAGCTTTACAACGCACTTACAATGAAGGCATTGTGAATGCTCCCATTTTCCAGCAGAGTACATTGAGGTTTCAGCGTTACATAATTCATCTGGGGTCATTCATTCTGCCCAGAAACAACAGAACCAGATGTCAGACCCATGCCGTGTGACTCTGGTGGTGTTCACTATGACAGGTGCAGAACGCCTGCAGAAGGGGACCTCCAGGAAGCATGGTAAACTGCTCCCACACCCTTGTGCATGGAAGCTTCATAGCCTGAGGAACAGCACAGCGACTTTGCTGGGAGCATACTTCTGGGGTTTGAAGAGCCGATGACAGGTTTCAGGCAAGGAGACTGAGGAAGGCACTTGAGGGTTTAAAGATGAGCAGCCAGCAGCACTGGCCTGAGTTCAAAGCTCAGAAGGCAAACAAAGTAGGCCCACAAAACCTAAGACTACAGTCCAAAAAAGGCTTGGGGGAAGATCTTCTGGGAAAGAGAAAGCAAAACAAGCAAAACAGTCAATAGTGTCCCACAAACCTATAGTTAATCAATGGTTTGTTATCTCATGGGGATTGAAAATCCCACCCATCGCTTGATTTCTGTATCTCAGAACTGTGGGAATGTTTAAAAACCTGGCCAGCACATGCATCTCATTAAATACAGAAAATTTGTTGTTGTTCCCCTTGACAAACATAATACAAACGGTCTTCATTTCTATATAGAAAGGAAAGACATGTTCATGATGTCTGAGAAAAAAACCTCTGAGTATATTTATATTCACCCAGAAATTAAAATGGACCATAAGTATTGGGGAAATAACTGCATTACTACCACAACCTGGGGGCTGGAGAGGTGCTCAGGCCTGGTCACGTGCAAGCTTATAACTCCAGTAGAGACAGGCAGATTGCTGGCTGCCAGTGTTGCTCTGAATTCAGTGGGAGACCCTGTTTCCTCTAGTGAAATCGGGTCTCAAGCATCAAAAATGTGTGAGATGCATAGAAGGTGTTTCATTTTCTTCTGCGAGTCACAAAATATTTAAGAATGTTTTATTTTCCGCTGCTGTCAGGTCAGCCCAGAGGGTGTCTAATGTGCTCACTCACGGTACCTTGAAAGAGACCAAGCTTGAAAGCTCTCAGGAAGCCCGAGGCAGCTTCTTCCTGCGACCATGTGCTGTAGGAACATTGTGTGTGTTACTACTTCTCTAGAGACAACCTAATTTCCTTCAGAGCATGGCTCTCAAGGGCAGTACACTGTAAACTCAAAGTAACTGGGGGTGTATTAGCATTTCACACCCTGAACAGGATTTCCCACTTTATGAAGGTCCACAGAAAAAGATCCCTATTCACAGGGCGAATCAGCAGAGAGGAGCTTGCGAAAGTGCTTAGACTAGGGGATTTTTATTGTGTCTCATTTACAAACAGCTTCTGAACTTCTGAAATAAAAGCAGTGCTGGAGTGGCTGCAGAAAGAAAGCAACAAGCATTAAATACATGACCCGCATGCATTCAGGTGTTCTGCTGAGTAGATACAAGCCAGGCACCACCAGGAAAAGAGGGATGAACTGAGCAGACAAGTATATGCCCAGAAAAGTCTGCTGTGCAGCAAGGGAGACATGGAGCTCACTCAGACTAGACTCTAGTCACTGGAGAATCTCTGATGCCACCCCTGTGGCATCCTGATTTTATGATGACCTTTTATTAAAGAAGAAATTATAAATTAGAGAAAACAATATCTGAAACAACTTCTGTGGATGTACCTACCATACAGTGTGGTCAGTTTAGCTGTCTAGTCCCCTCCCTACTTTTTACCCCAGAATTACCTCCCCAAGAGCAAAAACCTGGGTCTGGCTTCCAATTCTGGAAATATTTGTTTGTCTCACCGGTGCAAAAGATCACATGTCTCTGGAATCAGGAACAAACAAATTATCTAAGTTTAAATACTAATGTGTGGCCATGGTGGCCATGGGTCTGCTGTGTTCATCGCTGTAGATTCCAAGCTGCAAAGTGCAATTTCATTAAGTTGGAGATGCCTAAAATTCTTAGAAATAATGGAAGAGGAGCGAGCCACAGTTTTCTGGGGGCAACAGGGTAAAACGTAGAGTTCTTCTCAAAAACTAAGGAAACCCAAACCTGAGGAGGCAGAGGCAGGCACATCTCTGAGTTCAAGGCCATCCTGGGCAACATGGTGAGATTCAGGACAGACAGGACTACAACAGAGAAACCCTGTTGAGGTGGGGGGGGTGCTAATGGAAAGAACTGTTGAGTTGAAACTCTTGAATTTCTAAGTAGTGACTATAAAAGTTAATTAAAACCTCAGTTCCCCGAAAGATCCTGAGTCGGAAGTAACACACGTGAATGTGAGCGTTAGGAAGAGATTCACCCTGTGCCAGTAGTATATACATATACATATATATATATACATATATTTAAGACATTCAGCTGGAGGCTGTGGCTTGCGTACTCTTTACCTCCTTTCCCTCGTCACTCTTTGTGCCCCAGGTTCCCTCTACTTCATCATCATAACATGGTGTCAATTTCTAATCAGCTCCAGTTACAGGTTCATATCATCATGTACATGTGGCTGGTTCTTTCTAAAAATCTGGATTGTGACGTCATAACTAAATTTATTCAACCAATTTGTTAATTGGAGGAATTAATCTATCTCCAAACATTTGCTATTGTAATGAACACCCAATCTATGTATACAACTTTGAATGCATTGGCCTATCTGAACAATAATGACTAGCAATGAAATTGCCTTGATAGACGTTGCCTTTGATGACATTGCCTTTTAATGGGGATGTCAGACTAAGCATCCGTACGAGAGTCGAGAGTGGCTTTTTCCTACACCATCAACAGGAGGAGTTCTTAATTTTGCCAATCATGTGAGGGACTGTTTTGCATTTTAAAGATCGAGTAAGGGTTGCTATAAGAGTCAAGCCTCCTAAGGATTGCATGGTCAAGAAAGGGAGTAGTGAGATGGGTGGTTAGGTTAAGCTACTGTATCTGGAATAAGAAGAGACTTGGGGTTTGAAAAGCGGATGTTGAGTTTCAAGAAGGGAGTTGGAATGGAAACGATGGGAAAAACAATGCCTGAGCAAGACAAACTCCTTGGAAAGGAGCCCAACTCCCAGCTGAACTTTCCAAAGCCAGTGAGATGACCATGCGGAGATAATGACAAAGGAAAAACACAGAAGTGGAAAGAAAGTTGAGTAAGAATCCAGGCTGTGGGAGCTGGAGAGATGGGTTCAATTTCCAGCACCCACATGGCAGCTCACAGCAGTCTGTGACTACAGTTCCAGGGGACCCAATACCAATGCACATAAAATAAAAATAAATAAGATTAAAAAAAAAACCAGGATGTAAATGTGGGTGGTGCCTGGAAACACTGGGCATGACACAGCATATGGAGAACGAAGGCTCTCACTCCTGCCTGGTAAGGGGATACATGCTTCAATTCCAACACCCAGGAGGCAGAAGCAGGTGAGTCTCTGTGAGTTGGAGGCCAGCCAGCCTAGTCTACTCAGCAAATTCCAGGTGAGCAAGGACTATATATAATGAGGTCCTGTCTAAACAATTAAAAAAAACACCCCCTAGATTTCAGGCTTGAGAGGTGCCAACCTTGGAATCTGCTAAGGGATGGGATTCTTTTGTATTCATTATTTTAAATTTCTATACAGAATTGTTAAAGCTGACCTTAAACTCATTATACCCTCATAATACACGGGACTGTATATTATATATATACAGTTATATATATTCTAACTTCTATATATAGTTCAGGGTGCCTTACCCAAAGACAATGAACTCCATGTCTCCAAGCGGGAGCTGACAACCTCCAGATGCCTTATCGTGATCAGCGGATGAGATGATGACTCCAAAGAGTTCAGTCCATAACTGTGCTCAGCAAACGGCAATCACCCTTCTCTCACACAGCCATTGCTAGCTTCCCACTGAGACCACGTGCCTCTCCCACGTTAGAGAGTACAGTTAACAACAGAGATACCCACAGATACCGTTTCTGAGAGCAGATTCAAATTGCCCTGGACAATATTTGAACTCCTCTTAGGGAATCATTTCGTTTTCTCTGCTGGTACCAGTGGCAAACCTAGAGAAACAAATGCAAATGTTTCGCTAACCCCTTCAGCCACCTTCCTATGGAAAAATTGGTATTTTCATGAAATATTATACGATGTGAGCATTACGTATCTGTGATACGTGGCAGCAATAGCATCTGCCCCGCCCAGCCAGTGCCTGGGGCTTGTGTGAACTGCAGCGGTCGACATCAGATCCCAGGACTGCAGGCTCAGTCCACTGTGGGGCACGTTCAGATCTGTGCTCACTCCACCACAGTGAGGATTTCCAGCCAACTAACAAGTGGTAACTCTAGGGTCCATGGACCCATCTCAGGAGGTCTCTTGGTTTTTGGAAACCCAGCATTTTTGTCTCTTTCCATTATCCTTTACTTACTTATCTTGGGATAAGCGAGTCCTGACATTGTGAAAGGAGCCATGACCTGACCTTGAAATACCACCTCTCTCTGCAGTCTTCCCGCATCTGGTAAAGGAGCTCAATGCAAGCCTCCACGTCACAATTCTGCTGCTCCTCTTCCTGGCCTTGGCCCTTGCTCTGGTCAGCATGGGCTTTGCTATTCTCAACATCATTCAGGTCCCCTACAGGGCAGTCAATGGCCCTGGTGGCATCTGCCTTTGGAATGTCCTGGCAGGTAAGAAGCCCCCAAGGGAGGGAAACTGGTGGCCACACCTTTAGGCTGGGCTCCCAAGTGTTAACCAGGGGAACCTGAAGCTCCTCTTTTGGGCTAACTACCTTGTTAATAAAAGAATCTTAAAACAGACTCAGAAGGATGCTAAGGGACCTTGCTATTGGAGTTTGAGAGAAAAACAAGCTGTAAATCTTGGCAGCTGCCAGGAGGAGGGGATGGCAAAGAGAAAGTCCATGACTTCAGGACAGCAGGCACTTTCAGCAAGGGAGGTCAGTAAGCTGCTAAGCTGCGTGGTGAAAAGGGAGGGAAACTCCAGTGAATGAATAAGGAGGTTCACAGTGTCCCCAAACGCAGGCTTAGTCCTCTGGTCGGTATCTAAACAGTGATAAAGAGAACCTTTTGTGTGGGTCAATTGTCCTCAGACTTGCAATCAGAGACTGCCTCAGCCTCTCGAGCCTTTGCATTACAGGCCTGCACTACCAGACTCAGTTTAGTGTGTTGTTTTTGAGTGTCAATTTAAATTAAAACAGACCCATCAAAACAACTTCCAAGTTTTGCTCAGTTGTTAGGGAGATAAATGAGGTTTGGAATTCCAGAATTTCCTCACTACTTCCCACCTTGTGTAGAATACTGCAGCGGGCAGGTGAAGCCTCACCCTGCAGAATAGGATCTTACGTCTTCCTACCCAACACTCATTCTCTACACAGAAGGCGTAAGCTGTCTAGAGAGTGGTCCTCTAATGGGGATACTACCGGAAAGAGGAGTTGGAGGCATCCAGATTCTAGTCTGTCTGTCATTAATTTATTCTTTTTCCAGACGACTGTCCCTTTTGCCTTTGATACTATGTATCATCTACTGCTTTTAAACGCAAGTTCAAATTTGTGTCGCTCTACTAATTCTCCAAACCCCAAATTTTCACTCCAAACCCCAGTGAAGGCCTTACAACTGCCAAGAGGAACAGGAAGTAAAGGCGCTGTTTTGGGTTTCAGGTGGAGTCGTGGCTCTGGCCATCGGCAGTTTCATGGCTGCAGTGAAATTCCACGACCTGACAGAAAGAATTGCCAACTTCCAGGAGAGGCTCTTCCAGTTTGTCGTGGTAGAAGAACACTACGAAGAGTCGTTTTGGATATGCGTGGCAAGCGCCTCGGCCCACGCCGCAAACTTGGTTGTGGTGGCAATCAGTCAAATTCCCCTCCCAGAAATCAAGACTAAAATGGAAGAGGCCACAGTTACCCCCGAGGACATCTTATATTGATAACTGGCGCCTGCCCACTCATTGCCCTTAATCAGTCTGGTATATCAATGGGGGCCTCTCTGTTTTCAGTCTTCTAGATCCATAATGCTGTTTTGGGGTAGTAAAAAGAAGGCTGGGGGGGGGGGGGCTAAAGGGTGGCTGGGCCAGAGAGGAACAACTCCCAATGGCCAGGGTGCTGGCGCTTCTTTGTGAATACCTTGGAGCTGAACTGGGGACTCTGCATTCGTCAGCTCTGTCTGACCCCGAACAAATCACTTATTGACTAATTCTCAGTTCCCTCGTCTGTCAAAGGGAGCAATAATGACTTCGCCGGCTTTGTTGTGAGGTTCCAAGGGTGCTGTCGGAGATGCTACCAGCTCGGATCTCTGCAAACAAGGTCACATATAAATCCAGTAAGACTCATTGCTCTCTCTAGTATTGGAGCTGAGCAAAGAAACTATGTTCATGTCCATATCCTCGAGAAGTAATAAAGTATCCACATGGCACAGCAATCAACTAGTAACAATAGCACTAGGAGTGGAAACGACTGTAGGTTTCTGAGGGACCACTATTGTGCTGGGCACAGGCTTATTTGTTTGGTTGCTTGGTTTTTCTCTTTTCTCATTTCTTTTCCTGGGGGTGCCAATCAAATCCAGACTTTGCCTATACTAGGCAGGCACTTTACCACTGAGCAACAGCTCCACCCAGAAACACCATTCCAAGACTTTTCCTCCTATTGACGGCCTAAACCCTCTTCATAGTCCCAAGTGGCCAGAGCCATTCTAGCTCCATTTGACAGATGGAAAAGAGTCAAGGTACAGACAAGTTGTGTAACTTGGTGAGATGAGGAATGAAATCTAGCAAGTCTGGCACCAGAATCTATATTATTTTAGATCATATAAACTTTTTACTTCAATTATGACAGAAACCGCAAAGACAGAACAAATTCCAGAAGATATATGATTAGGTTAAGTAGCCATACTAACAAAGCAAAGCAAAAAATACCTTAAAATTTCCCACCTCCAGACACTTGGGACAGTTAAGTAAGACGTGGGGAGAAGCAAACAGGTGATGCCCATCCCTGCTGGGGTGGGATCTCTCGCCCATGCAGCCCATCCAGCAAGCTCACATAAATCAAATCCAGGCCAACAGCGGCCTGAGGTCATTCAGCCTTATGGAACCCTGCCTCTGAGCTTCTAAGTTTTCACAGTTCTAATGCCTTCCTTTTGTTCCTCCTAGGACCAGTAGCTCCTTCCAACACATGCCACCTCTGGAAAATCCCCCTACACTTTTGAACCCTTGCTGCTGATCTGCAGCTTGATATACAAGCGGGGCAATGTAAGGATGCTAAAATAGACCCGGCACAGAGAGACAGGGAGGGATGAAGTCTCCTGGATGGAGTGTGGTATTAAAGTTTCTCTGAGCTAACATTTGATCTGAACTGTGAAAGATGAGGAGGCTTTTTCCAGTGGCGAGGCATGCAGGGTTGATAAAGAATCCCAAGAGGAGTTGGTAATGAGGGAACACACAAGGCCCGGAAGGCCACTCAAGAGAGTGGTGAGAGAGATGAGAATGTGGCCTTCTTGGGCCTGTTCTGAGGGACATTTTCTAAGCAGTTGGTGAGAGCTCGTCTACTGTGTCAACTTACATAGGCCCTAACAGCCAGGAAGTCAGTCAGTCAAAGGTTTAAATGTTTCCATGAAGACACTTTTTGATAAGTTAATGTTCGCATCTGACCTTTTATAAATTCAAGAGCATTATCCAACCAGTTGAATATCTTAATGGGAAAAAACTAACCTACCATAAGGAAGAGAGAATTCCACCTTTGCACTAGATCCCCAACTCTCCATCCAGTCTTTGGTGTTACCTGGTGAAAGTTTCTCCTCGGTTCTTATCTTCTCCAAAGGAAGAATTTAAGGTAGAGAGACAGACAGTTTAAGTAGGTATTCAGTTAGCAAAGCAAAGTGAAACGTATACTTCAAAGAGAGAATGGAATATGCAGTCCCAAAGGAGGGGCTCCCTTACATCTAACTCCCTACCTGCCCAGGGAACCAAGCTATCAAGATTCGGCTGCAGCTTCCTTGGATCCCTCACTTCTAGCTCCATGCCTACTCCGTTCCACCAGCTGAAAGCGCAGAACTTGGACATGTCGTCCTCCACAATCACATGAACTAACTCCAAAGAACCAATCAATTAAGACCTCTCTCAGATACCCAGATCCCTTTCATGGACAGTCAAATCCCCTGTACGAAATGGCATGATGTTTGTGTATAACCTGCTTTCTTTGCATGTACTCAATTACCTCCAGGCAACTTAGAACACCTAATAAATGTGACTACCCTGGAAACACTTGTCATGCTGTGTGGCTTAGGGAATAAAGATGAAGGGGAAATGTGTACATGATCAGTATAGACACAACCATGCAGACTCAAATCCATCTATATGACTACTTATATGCATTGTTGCTGAACTGCACATACAGAGAGTTAACTGAATGCACACACACACACACCCTATTGGCTCTGTTTTTCTGGAGAAACTATTAACTATATTCATCCATTTTGTCAGTGATTCCAGCTGACTGTGAATGGTGCCATCCCTGGGTGGATGATCCTGTGTTGTATGAAAAAGCAAGTTGAGTCAGCCATGGAGAGAAAGCCAGTAAACAGCATTCTTCTCTGATCCCCATTCCAGTTCCTGCCTCCAGGTTCCTGCCTTGAGTTCCTTCCCTGACTTCCTTTCATAATAGACTATAAGATGAAATAAACCCATTTCTCCCCAAGTTGCTTTTGGTCATATGGTTATCATAATAGAAAACAAAGTAGGACATCCTCGTGCTATGGTGTTCTCTGAGCCCTGGGAGATGGGGTACAGGTGATAAAGATGTTCCATTTATGACTGAACATGAACTCACATTTTTTCCATCTCAATGGCCAATGATGAAACTCATTGCATGAAGAAGTGTCTCTGACCAAAGTTGGCAGCATCAGTGGTCTGCAGGTATAAGCAGAGTTATTTAGAAAACAATTTGATGATCACATCATGTCCATTTAGCAAAATAGTATTAGTAGCTTCCCCATTAAAACTTTTAACATCGCAAGCCATGGTGTTTTGAGTAGGGCAACTGAAAATCCCCTTCTGTAAAGAAGACTTAAATTAAATCACTGAGTGGTTGGTTACCCCTGGAAACATGGCCTTGTCACTATTGTGCCAGTGGGTACATTTTGGATAGCCTCTCAGTAGGGTTGCATGTGGGGTCCTTAGTTGGGTTAGACTGTTGAAGACAATTCATCCACAGAAACCTAAAACACCTTCCAGCACTTTGAGAAGTGCTGGAATAATATACTGTGGGAATATATTAATAATATGGGAGTAATTAATAATCATACACTATGGGAATATATTAGTCACTTTTCTATTGCTGTGATAAAACAAAATAGAGAGAGCAACTTGGAAATGGCACAAGGTCTTGAAACCTCAACCCCCCCCCCACGGTGATGTACTTCCTCCAGTTATGCCACATCTACTAGACGTTCCCAAACAGCACTACCAACCAGGAATGAAGTGTTCAAACTTCCAAACCTACGAGGGACAATCTCAACCAAACCACCACAGGGGGCTACCTGTGAGGAAGGAAGCATCCAATCAACTTCAGCTTGATTTCTCTGTCCCCTGAAAGCACAGCACATGGAGTCTTTAGGAGGAAGATTGCAGGAAGATTTCATGGTGTCTTCTCTGTCCTAAAGGCTATGATTCCTCTCAATCCCTTCATCCCCATCCCAGGCCAGACCTCAACATCATCCATGGACAAGTAGGTGGTGCATGGCTAGACGAGACAGTTAATCTGACAAGAGAAGAATCCAAAACAAAACAACAGACAGCTATGCTGAGCTGAAAACAAGAGGAAATATTATATAGATTGCAAAGACCCTGAAAAATGGTTTATGTGGTATTTGAGGGTCTCGGGACATTTATTCATTCAACAAGCTTGAAACTGATCAGCACTCAGGAGGCAGAGGCAGGCAGAGCTCTGTGAGTTCGAGGCCATTCTGGTCTACAAGGTGAGTTTCAGGGCAGCCAGGGCTATACAGTGAAATTCTATTTCAAAAAGCAAAAAAAAAAAAAGAGTCATAGAAGTATCTTTAACCTCTTGGAAGTTTCAAATATTCCAAATCAGGTTCAGTCTGAAGGGCATCTCACAGAAACACTATGGGGGAGATTCCTAAATGGAATTTAGCAGAGCAGATAGAAAGAAGTTTAAATATCTCATTCTTAGAATTCCCTTGCATTATGTTACTTGATTTAATACATATGTAGAGAAAATAGAGTTCCTTGATGTTGACCTGCGTGGGCTAAGTCAGGCTCCATCTTAAACCGTCCCAAACACAAAATGTCGGCAGGCACCATCACAGTGTGATGGGAGTAAGAGTTTATCCTAATCAATGATCATCACATGCCAGGTATCACAGGGGGAGGGGAGATACCAGGAAATTGTGCCTCGTTGCCAGATTTTGAGTTAAATAACAAACGGCATGGTTTTCTCACTTATGAAAGAAGGAAACTGCGTAAGTTGATCTCTCCTTTCCCTTCATACTATAAAAACTTTAAGGCGAGTGAATGCCATATAAAATACACGGGTTATAATGCATACTACCTCCCACGTGATGGTGTCGGCTGTTTCACGATCTGATTACCTACGTGACAAGAGGATTCTACGTTCCACACAAGCACCCTGGAATTTCAACACTGAGATTCCCACCACCCTTTCTATTTTATCTTGATTAAATATTCTATGATATTGATTGTTGTGTTCTTGGCTCAATAAAACTAATGTTAAAACATGGAGTGTAATTGTTCTTCCCAGCACTTTGTTTGGGCTGGGGAATAATAATCAAAATGAGAAATGACTGTCCTGCAGAATCAGCCTCTTTTTGCTCTGAACTCTTGGGGAAGAGTTATACATTTGGTCGACATGCATTTTTTTTTCTCATCCATAGCAATTTTCTCACCCTTAAGAGACT